TGGCCACATTCTCCTAGAACAGGGAGGTGAAGCTGACAGTGGTCACCTATGTGTCCAGCAACGCCAGCGTATCCAGGGGCTCTGTGTATGTCTCCCCTCCCACGCCACAGGGCAGCCAAGGGGAGCAGAGGCAGGACGAGGGATAACCCCTGCCTGCCCACCGATCTCTCAGGGCTCTGAGGTCTTCCGTCCAGAGGTGGCCAGTGACCTCGATGGACTCAAGATTCTGCTCTAGGTCATGCTTGCTGCAGGCCTGGAAGACCTCCCAGAAGTGAATCGCACACATATGGAATAGTTATCTTGGTCCTCACTACAGAGAAAGAATTCTTGGAGCAGCCACTAAAACACAGAAATTCTCATTCTGTACTTGTGTCGGATGAACCGGTTGTCCTGTGGGAACAAGATCTACAGGTGGCTTCCTCTGGTGGAACCCAGTTGGTGGCTGTCTCACAAAAAAGAATTAGGGAAAAGCCAGGCCAGAATGTCCCCGGAACTCTTTTAATTTCCCAAAGAACCCTCCCTGTTACATAGCAGCCCCTTGCTTTCTCCAGCAGCCCCTTCCTTGTTGGAGATTGGGAGGTCTTCCCACGGCCTGGGCTATGTATCCCCCGCCCCGCCTCCCTTCCAGTGTCTCCATGTCTGAGCCTTGTGACCCAGACTCTGCTGCGCCAGCCAGCCAGGCAGTAAAAGGAGATTGATGCCCTCTCCTCTTACGAAAATCCATCACTTTTTGGCATGTGGGTCAGATAGTTTCACCAGAGGCAGCTCTGAACAGCACTGTGTGAGCTAAAAGTATGCAGGAACAGGGACCCAAATAGACGTGTGGATGTCAGAAATGAAACGGCTCACTACAGGCATTCCCCAGGGCCTGAGCAGAGGCTGTTCCTCCCGAACTCTGTCCCCACGTATACCCTTCTCCCCAGGGCTTTGTCTGTTCTGCAAGGCTTCAGGGGCGGGGAGGCTCCTGCCCTTGCCCTTGGGAAGATGCCATCATAGAGTTCCTGGATGAGCAGGGTGAGGGAAAGCTGGTTAGTGGAAGATGAAGGGTTAAGCCTCTGTAGACGGGATCATTTTAGTGGCCGTAAAGCTGGGAGGACAGAGGGAAGGCAGCCTAAGGTACAGGAAAGAACACGGTTTTGGACGTCATAAACAAGAGAGTCCTTCCCTGGCCGATTTTTACCTGTGAATCTGGAAAGTTACCCCCGCCCCTGTTTTCTCAGCTGTGAAAGGGGTGTAATTACACTGATCTCTCAATCTCTCAGGGTTATTGCGAGAATCAAGTGTTGAATACATAGTAGGTGTTGAATACATACGGTGCAAGGTAATTCCCTTTGCCCGACTTTTTCCTTGGTAGGTTCAGTGAAAGAAGCTGCTCAGATGGTATTTTGGAGTCTCCAGTCTTGTTGATGCATGGGGTCGTCCACATGGAAGTGATTTGCCTTATGCGTTTGGTCCAAATCCAGCAACTCTCTGCCAAAGCTCCCTGGTTACCTTGCGGAGCTTCTTATCCTCAGGACCAGGAACAAGTCCTCTCCTGGGGGAGAATTTATGGTCGAATAAAATCTGTGTTTATTTCCCATTCCGCCTTCTGCTCCTTCCCAGTGCTCACCACCCTACCCAGGGCTCAGCACAGGTATTGGTGTCAACATTATTTCATCCTGAAGAAAACGAGAATGAGCCAAGCCTATTTTCTTCTGAGCGCCGGAGTATTTCCACATCCCTGAAATTTGGGGAAGACACTTTGGCCTGTGGGAGGCTTCTGCTTAGCCTTTCTCACGTGCTCGCAGAGAGCAGATGACCTTCCAGTACTACGGTCACTTGCCCTCTGCTACCTTCAAGGCTCGTGGCTGTCACAGCTTCCCCACTCCTGCAGCCGGGGTTTGCAGCTGCTGCCCGGCTCTCCTGGGATTTGAGGGAGGGCTGGGAAAGCACCCCCTGGATGCCACTCCCACTTGTCCTGTCTGAATCTCTCAGGGCTTGTGATTCTTGCTGCTGAGGGAGGGAGAGGAGAAGGATGGGTTCCAAGACATGACCAAGGCACAGCAGCTGAAAAGCAGAGTCTGGTTCTCTTTAAAGCTCCTCCATTCCCATTTTGTATTCACTGTAGCTGGGAGTGAGTGTTCTGAGGGGAGCTGGTGAGGTCTTCCAGCCCAGAGTTGGATTTAGGGACCCAGGAAAAGATATAATATTGTTTTGCCTTTGTAGAGATGTTTCTAGAACCTAAGAAGGCAAGAGAGGCGTGATCTCCATTGCATGGATGGGTAGTTGGGCCTCTGAGGATGGACTTGACTCAATCTAGACCACACAGCTAGGGAGGGAAGGAGGGCCTTGGAGCTAAGTCCAGGATGTCTCACTTCCTCCGGGGCTTCTGGAAGTGAGGTATGTGGCTAAGCTGTCTGTGAGCATGGTACTTGTTTAGGTCAAGTTGTAAAGGTGAACTTCTTCAGCTGGCTAATTCCCCACCCCACCATAGAAGCCATGTTCTAGTGGTTCTGAAAGTGGGTCCTGCACCAGCAGTACCTGGGATTTTAGATTTGCATATTCTCAGGCCTCAGCCTGGACCTACTAGATAGGAATCCCTGAGAGAGGAGCTCAGCAATCTGTTGTAATGAGCCATCTAGGTGATTTTGACATGTTCTCAAGTTCTCCCATTGCAATGGAGAGGGAAGGTGGGATTGGAGTGGAGACAGGGGCCAAAGGGGGCTCTTCCCCAAGTGACTTGGCAACCCTGCCATGTTCTGATGCTCTGAATTCTGTGCCCAGCTCAGCCAGTAGGTGGGGATGCCTGAATTGGCCCTCGTTTCTCCTTTTTGTGAAATAATATCAATCATAATGAAAATGCCAAAACACAGCCTGCATTTTGGAGGACTTAAAGATTTACAAACTTCCACGCTCAGGTAATAGGTAAGTTGAACTCCTACTATTCTCCCCATACCCATTTTACAGATGAGAAATCTGAGACCCAAGTTTTTGTTGTTTTTTGGTGAGGTGCACAAGCACTTGGAGGATCCAGGTCTTGAAGCAAGCTCCTGTGTCTTCCCATGCCTGCCTTCCCAATCCCGGCATGTTCAGAGGTGTGGGCTTGGCATGGTACAGCTGCCATCGTAAGCCCTGTCTTCATGCCCAGGCAGTGCCAGGCACTTACCTTGCAGAAGGCCTGCATCATCCCTGGTCACCTGAGAATGATTAGGCAGCAGGAGCACGTGGTCTCCCAAGAGAGGGCTTGACTTCCTATTTTCTCGCAGTGGGAGACTCTTTAGCCTTGCTCTCCATTCCTCGGAGGCTGAGAAACAGAGACAGAAATTGTGCAAAAGGGAACCAGTTTTAATCCCCTCCCTGTAAAGACCAGGGCATACCCCCACAGCATGTAGCAGCCACATTGCAGCCTGTAGCCTGGGAGGAGCAGTCACCAGCAGCTGTTAACCTGCAGGTCTGTCCTGGAGGAAGGAGAAAATAATAGTCTGCAAATGCTTCCTTCCACAAATACTTGGTAGGTGGATCATCTGGGACACTGTAGGGATACCAAGGACTGATGCGGGGAGAAAAAAGATTCCTGTAGTTTACTCCTGGAGGAATCCCTAAACCAACAAAACACTACCCCAAGGCTTCCAGCCATGCCCCTCTGTCCCTGTATGTCTCCTGACTTAAGAGGACAGTCTGCCATGGTCCAGGAGCTGCCGCTTTCATTTCTCAACAAAGTCACTTGGGAAAATCCTCCTTTTGGCTCTGCAATGCTCTTCATCATGTGAATGCAGGTATTTAATGGGCTTCTGCCTGTTGAACAATTAATGTAAAGGTCAGTGAGTAATCTCCGGTTCCCTCCTTTCATCGCCAGCCCACTGCTTGTCCAACTCCTTTGTAGCATTCTTTCCAAATCGGTGGGAGGGCTGAGGTCACAGCTCTGCTTTCTTCAGGCAGACAGACTTTAATTAGGTTGCTAAATTAGCAGAGGCAGGGGCAACCCTTCTCTCTGCACATACTCTCGTTCTTGGGTGGACTCTGAACTTGCCTTTGGTGATCTCATTGGTCTTTCTCTCTTTCAGAGAAGGGTTGGTCAAGTAGAAGTTTTTCCCAAATAATCTTAGCTTCCCCTTAGTAGTCTCTGTCATGAACCAGGCACTGTGATGGGGTCACTACAGCTTTTTGTTACCATAAAAGCCAGTATGTCTTTGTGTGTGTGTGTGTGTGTGTGTGTGTGCATGTGTGTGCGTGCATGTGTATGTGTGCGTGCATGTGTGCATGCGTGTGCATGTGTGTGCATGTATGTGTGTGCATGTGTATGTATGTGTGTGCATGTGTGCATGTGTGTGCATGTGTGTCTATGTCTTTACTTTGTCCTCAGCACTGGGCGGAGCTCTTTCTATGGATTATCTCAATTAATTCACAAGAATTCAGCGAGGAAGTTGTTCTTGTTAATCTCATTTTACAGAAGAAAAAATTGAGGCTCTCAGGCTAAATAACTTTCCAAAGCTAAAAAAACTATTAATGGGGTCGAACCAGGATTCCAACCTGATTCTCCATCATATCCTGGAAACCTGGCTGTTCAAAGTGCGACCAACAGCAAATGGACATCACCTGGAAGTTTCTTAGAAATGTAGATTCTCAGACCCTCTGGATCAGAATCTTCATTTTGACAAGCTTCCCAGGGAATTCATATGCACAAAACTGTGGAGACTGCTTTATGCCGTCTCCAACAACTCCGGCTAATCAATACCAGAATCCTATGCATTAACTACTGATTCCATTTGCCAGCGGAGGATGCTGTGGTTTAGAGGGATTGGGGGTTATTCAGGGACAGCACTGAGATTTGATTCTGGCCCATACTCTCAAAGCACAGAGGGATGTCAGTTTTTATGCTAAAGTTGGGGTGCTAGAGTTTGTCTTTGCCTGCTGTGGACTCAGAAGCAGAGGTCTCCACCCTAGACCTCTGTACTCTTTGGTCTCCCTGTGTCACCAATGAGGACTGACTTGCTGCCCTCCTCCCTGTCTCCCTCCTACAGATGTGCAGCACATTAAGAGGAGAGACATCGTGTTGAAGCGAGAACTGGGTGAGGGAGCCTTTGGAAAGGTCTTTCTGGCCGAGTGCTACAATCTCAGCCCGACCAAGGACAAGATGCTCGTGGCTGTGAAGGTAAACCCAGAGGCCTGTGGGCACCAGGAGGAGGGCTGGGTGAGGGCCTGGGGAGGGGAGGAAGAGGCTCACTCCATTTGAGAAGATAGTGCTCAATTGGCTCTGTCACATGCAATCAGAGGACTTTGCTCCAAGATCAGTGAAGTTTCCCAGGGACCAAAACAACTTCCTTTGACTTCCAAGGTCAGGTGCTGTAGCACTTAAGGGAGCTATGCCTGGGGAGCAAGTTATTTTTGTAAATGACCCTGGTTCATTTCTGGTGGCCTTGTGATTACCTCTGTGCCAGCACTTGCCCTCCACCCTCCACCCTTCACCACGTAGTGGCTTTACAGGACATGCGGTCTGAGCCTGGAAAGTCACATGGCCATTTCTCAGGAGTGGAGCTGTTGTAGAGTGGGCTGTTTAAGGAGGTCTGGGTAACCAATTCACAAAGGCACAAACATCACTGATAATAGAAGAAGATGTTGTGGGGCAGGGGCTGCAGCAGGGAGGCAGGGCATTAGCACTGGGAGAATAATGAGTGAAGTTGGTGAAATTGTTAGGTATTTTCCGTGGGTTTCAGTTTCAGAGCCCAAGTGCCAGCATGTCTGGGAGAAACTTCCTCCTGGAAGCTGCTAGAGGGCTCCCTCGACCACAGGGCTTCTGTGTTGCCAAGACACATGGCAGATTTGTGGCAGGAGCTGAACTGCATGGAGCAGGAGAGAAGGGGCTTTGCTATTACTAATTGCCCTTCCAGACTCTTCCACCCAGCAGTCAACAGCTTCTCTTTGGAAACCAATATTGGTCAAATCTTTGAACGTGGTTGACATAAACAAGAGCCAAGTAGCCTCCTGAAGGCATCCGCAGATCCCTGGAACCCTTCTCTGAGTCTGGAGTGACTTCCTTGGGTGCAGTGAGCAGGCTTCTGAGGCCAGAATACAGTCTGCCATGTCCTAAGTTGTGGGCTGACCAACGCCAGAGATATGGCTCCCAGTGAAGATACTCACCAAGATCTCAGAATGGTCCTGTCCTTAGCATTGAGGGATCACAAAGCCAGTTCTTGTTTCTGCAGCTTTTGGGTCTCTGTATTCATAGTCTTGTGTATCTACAGATTGTTTCCATCCACAGAGGGCAAATGGCTCCAAGAATGAAGATAGGACAGTGCAGGCATAGCATGGGCATCAGAGAACCTGGATGCAAATCCCAGCTTCACTGCTGATAAGCTGTGTGACCTTGCACAAGACACTCAACTTCTCTGAGCCTCAATTTCCTCATCTGTATAATAGCAATCATAATATCCCCCCCATAGAATGTTGATGATTAGATCACATTATGTGTCTAAAATCCTTAATGCACTGTTTGGGGCTTAGTAGAGACTCAATAAAAAGTAGTTGGCATTGGTTTCCGTCAACATCATTATCGTTGATGTTGATGTTACTGAATGGCTTAGACACATGACGTATGACCTGCCAAGCTTACATTGACTGACTCTCTGGAATTGGAGTCACCAAACTTTTTCTCTAAAGGTAAATATTTTAGACTTTGAGGGCCTTATACTTTCCACTGCAACTCTGCCCGTGTTGCTGGAAAGTAGCATAAATAACACATTAACTAATGAGGGCATCTATTTTCCAGTAACTTTTTTTGGTTAATTATTTTTAATTATTTTATTATTATTATTATTTTTTTGAGATAGGGTTTTGCTCTTATTGCCCGGGCTGGAGTGCAATGGCACGATCTCAGCTCACAGCAACTTCCACCTCCTGGGTTCAGGCAATTCTCCTGCCTCAGCCTCCTGAGTAGCTGGGATTACAGGCTGCACCACCACGCCCAGCTAATTTTTGTATTTTTAGTAGAGATGGGGTTTCACCATGTTGACCAGGATGGTCTCGATCTCTTGACCTAATGATCCACCTGCCTCGGCCTCCCAAAGTGCTGGGATTATAGGCATGAGCCACCGCGCCTAGTCCAGTAACCTTTTTTGATAACGAAAGTAAGCATCATTTTCTGACCTCTGCTCCAGAAAATAAATAAGGTACTGCATCCTGAAAGGCTAATGATTGTTATTGCTGTACATTCTGTCAATAAACTTGCTCCGTGTGTCTCCATAGACATGAGATGGTCAAATGAGCAAGGGTGTCTTTAAACAGCTTGGAGCAGGGATATGGAAAGGTTTCTAATGTTGTCCCTAAGCTTAGGATCTGCCCTGCCCTGGCATTTTTAATATGTAGGATGACGCTAATCCACAGGGTGTTGCGACATCCATGTGGGAACTGGTGAATGAACTGAACATTTTTGCGCTTTCAGCAGAGAATGAGATGATGGCTGAAAACCCTGGGAAATGTTTCCCCTGAGTGGTCTGGCATTAAGGGGCAGACCGAATAATGCACAAAGTGTGTTTCTGTTTCCATCTTTTTAAAAAGATTTCCTTCTTTCCTTGGATCTGGGGACCTCAAGGAGATGAACCCTCTGGGATTTTGTACCATGTGCCACTCAGTGGATCTACCTAGTTGCCAGCCTGGAAAAGAGGCCTACCTCCTCCAGAGAACATCTTGGAAGTGGTGTTTTCTGCTTCCTGCCCTCTTTAGATTCCACTTCTTTTTGCAGGAACCTTCCTTTTGAGATAGTTCTCATGTTGATGCAGGGTAATGTTGTACTTCTGGAGAACACATACAAGTATAACCCAAGATAAAGTTTTCCCAAACAAGAATGTTTTGCCCAGCAGTTGCTATGGTACAAACAAAGAAGCAGAAAGCACAGCCTATTTTTAAGGTGCTTACAGCCTGCTGGGGAGAGGAAGCAGGACGGCGCAGGACATAATCTGCATATATGTGCAGTGTAAGTGTGACATTAAAATAGCATCATGCATGAGATAGATTGTTAAGTAAGTGGTGCCACTCCAAAATGGTCATTAGACAAAAAGAACATTTACATGGCATTCAAACCAAGGCAACCCTGTTCCTTTGCAGAGGAGAGAATGAGGTCGTCCTCCCCATTTTTCCTATTTTTTTTCTCTGTCATTTCATGCTCTGTCCTGGGTGAACCTCAGTGGTCTTCTAATTCATGAATTCTTCATGTGGTTTTATCTGATTTAGAGCTTTTCCTGTCTAGAGGTTTTTATTTTAACTTCAATGATTATATATTTTATTTCCAAGATATCTAATCAGTTCTTAATTTTGTTACCTGAATTTTATTTCTCCCCCTACTTCCAACATGCCTTCTTATTTTCTTTAAAAAATATATTTCTTTGCTCTTTTTGAGCATTTACTTATTTTGAAATCATTTTGAGCCATTCTGATGAAATTGATTTATCTTCAGGAAATTGATGTTCTGGTTTTTGATAATTTTAGTCATTTGGATTTAGCATTATATTTCTTCCGATACATCTGAACTTCAGCTATTGGGTTCCTTTTGGTTTGAAGAGTGTTTTGGTTTCTGTTTTCAGTAGTCAAAATTTTCAGTTTCAATCATTTTACATCGAAGCAGGAGCTTAAGACATTTGTGAAACCATCTGAGTGCAGAATCTCAGATTTTGACTATTTTCCCAATGTTTGGATACTTTTGCCTTCCACTCTTAACAGTATTTTTAACCACTGACCTTTAGCAGGTTTTTAAAAAGCATTCATTGTAGCTTCCATAAAGCTCCCCAATCTACACTCATATTTCATTGGTTTCTAGAACATTTCATTACGTTATGTAATTACATTAGCAGGTTGAGCTGTCATGAATGAGTTTGGGAACAATCACGGATGATTCTTGGTAGGCCTCTCTATGGGACAGAAGTATCTCCTTGGGTGCCCAACTAGCAGGGATTGTTGAGGATCTCATGATCTGCAGAGATCATAGGCAGTGCCAGCTAATCTGGCCTGCAGTGTAGACACAGCTCAGTAGAGAGTTTTCTGGCGAAAGGAGCAGCAAAGGCCCTGAGGCAGAGAAAAGCTTGGAGGGTATGGGAAGGCCAGTGAGACTGAAGTGTAATAAATGATGGGGGAGGAGTGTGTGGGAGGAGAAGAGGCAGAGAGAGACTGGGAGACCAGACCTGATAGAGTCCATGACTGTGTTAGGGAGTTTGGATTTTATCCTACGAACATTGGGAAGCCCATGGCCAGTTTTAAGCCAGGAAGACAGATGAGGGAGGGGTACCCCTCTATGTGACAACTACCCTCTTCTTTCCTGGTGAAGCTGTTTGAGAATCTCACCCAGAGGAAATGGCAGTGGATTTTTAGTCACTAAAAGAAAGATGATTTTATAATTAAAGAAGGTTGATTGATGTGTGAGTGTGTGTGTGCATGTATGTGTGCATGTATGTGTGCATGTGTGTGCACATGTGTGAGTGTGCATGTGTGTGTGTGCATGCGTATGCATGTGTGTGTTTGACCACTTAGGACTTTGAACATTTAGGAATGTGTGTATATTGTATCTATGTCATGAGTTTCAGAATATTAATGAAATCTGAAACCGAACATCCCTTGAAATATCTCCCCCTAAAGAAAAAAAAGAAAGTAAAATGGAGGGCAGCAGAGGCTGGATGACATGAAGATGCTAGGTGACCCAGGAAGAACTGGGAGCTGTTGAGAAGTTTGTGTTCTTGTCATCTAGCCTATTTTCCTTCCACCCAAAAAATGACCTTATTAAAACCCTTTCCCCAAGGCAGAGGTGGACATGACAGCTGGTGCGTGCCGGGGGAAAGATAAGAAAGGGAAATGTGGGGCCAGGCGCGGTGGCTCAAGCCTGTAATCCCAGCACTTTGGGAGGCAGAGGCGGGTGGATCACAAGGTCAAGAGATCGAGACCATCCTGGTCAACATGGTGAAACCCCGTCTCTACTAAAAATACAAAAATTAGCTGCGCATGGTGGCACATGCCTGTAATCCCAGCTACCTGGGAGGCTGAGGCAGGAGAATTGCCTGAACCCAGGAGACGGAGGTTGCGGTGAGCCAAGATCGCGCCATTGCACTCCAACCTGGGTAACAAGAGCGAACTCCGTCTCAAAAAAAAAAAAAGAAAAAAAAGAAATGGAAATGTTTTCCAAACTTTGGAAGGAAGAGAGGGAGAGAAGGAGGGTGAATTGTAGCTCTCCTTTTTGTACTGAGGATACTGTATAAGGGCCTGAGCCAGGAGCCTCCCTGGCTTCAGAGACCTCTTGGCACAATGCATGTGTCTGCACCCACAGTTGGTAGCCATGATAAATGGGTTCTTTCCCATGTCACTGACTGGTGACCCATTTTGAGGTTTCCCAGCCATGAAGATGTTACATGTGGACCCCACTGAGAGGGGCCAGAGAGTCACTGGCCCCTACTTGCCTCCTCATTATTCTCCTCCTGTCACCTCTGTTCTAATTGCATCAATCCCTGGGGACAGGGCCACTGGCAGCTCCTACCTGGTTGCCACACCCCACCCTTGGCCAGTTAGGTGAGATCTTCAGGTTTGACCCAAGAGCTGGAAAGCCCACTTTGAAAGCACAGAAAAGGGCTGTAGAAGAGTAAAAGTGATGGTGGTTGCTTTGTGCCCATCTCCCAAATGAGGACCCCATCTCTGCCTCACAGTGCAGGGTGCCAGCCGAGGGGACGCTGGCTGGTACTGCTTGAGACCTGAGAACAGAAATATCCCATGGCCGTCATTGACGTCCAGACTGTGGGAGAGAATGATTTAAAGAGATGGAGAGAGGCCATTTGGCTGGCCTCAGATTTGATCTACTTTTCCCTCTCATAAATCCAGCGTTCACATAAATCTTTATATTCTCCCATCCCACCCATGCTGGGTTCCTTTTTTCCCCTTCTTCTTCTTCATGAAAATAAATAAATCACTCTCTATCATCCAATACCCATGACCCAGCCAGCCGATGCAGCTCAGGGCTGCTGCTGGGAGCTGGGTCCCCAGGAGAAACTGTCTCTCACCATGACTCTCTGACTTCTCAAATGTCTTTGTTCTGGCTGTAGTTGGACATTACATCCTATTCATTTATTGTTAGGTAGCTTCCCAGATCCAGCAGCGAGAGTTGAAGTGGAGAACACGTGGAATCAGGTCTGGTAAAAATCAGCAATGGGCTGATCACATGTCTTTGGCCTATCCTGCAAGCCTGGCACCTTCTCTGGGCCCAGCCACTCTGCTGGCAGCCCATGCCCCATGCCTTTCCTGACCCTCTCCTCTAAACTTTCATATTCTTTTATTCCTCTGCTTACCATTCTCTTGGGGACCTGTCTGGTGACTAATTTATCCCATAAATTAATTCAGGCAGGCATGCTGGGCAGGAAAGTGTCCTGGGCCCTAGACCCAAGCTATTACGTGTTATGTGATCTTTGGCAAGTTCCTTCCCCACACTGAACCCCAGCTATTATCTCATCTGAAAACACTAGATAACTTTCAACATTTTTGACAGCCATAGATTCATTTAATCAAGCAATATTTCTTATCAAGCTTCCAAATGTTTTTTTTAAAAAATAGAAGGTGGTGCTGGTTGAAGTGGGGCTTGATGTCTGCTGAAAGACGACACCTCCACCTGATGACCCCACAGGCATTGCTGCTGAACTCTGGGGCACTGTGAGGCCCACCAGCAGAGTCCCGAGGTCCAGTCAAGCTCTAAGTGTCTGTCATTTAATTAGTGTGAATGTGAGCAGATTCCTGGACAGACTCAGCCTCAGTTTCTCCAACTCCAGAAACGAGTAGGAGTAGATGTTGTGTAGGGCCCTTTCATGCTAAAAGTCCATCATTTCTGATGTGTGCTAAAGGCTGAGAGGTTTGATGGACCCCCTAGGTACACCTCTTTTGGCATATTCACGCTACTGCAGTGTTAGAACCAAGGAAACCCTGTAGGTTTCAGCTGATGGGGCTGCAGGGACAGGAGAAAGATCTCTGGTGAGAGAGACGTATTGGCACTTACCTGACCTACAGGAGAGGCCAGTGAGCCTGGAAAAGCCAGATGCCTAGCAGAGAGAATGCAACCCAGTCTCCGGTCTGTCTAGACTGTCACTCACCTGCAAATGGTGAGCCAATGTTGCACTCACTCCCTCATTGCCTTGTGTTGTGTCTATTGAGGTGGCTAAAGCATGTCAGTTGAAGCAACTGAATGTTTGGCCTCATTTGCCTTCTGGCTTCATAGGGAGGGTGGAGAGGCTGGAGAAATGGGGGAGCCCACCTGCATAAGGTGCTCCTCATGCAGAAAGGGGCTCTCTGCTTCACATACCATTGTCCATCTGGCTGGCATTGCTGTGCCCCTGGCAGTTCCCTATCCAGGGTCCTTCAGGTGTGCTCAAAGGCTTCATGTTTGATCTTGTAGTCCCCTTTAGGTGCTGGGAAATCCACATGCAAAACTTATATTCTACCTGGGTATATTCATCTTCCTGGGCCTTACAGGAAGTGCATGTGGTGGCATTCTGGTGGTTCTCAGATGCTTCTTTCCATTTTACACCAGGACTTTGCAGGACTCGGCCTGGTCCTGGGTGTATCTGAGGTTTCTGTCCACTAGTTGCCATTCTGGTAGCTGCTCCTCCACTCTTCCCACCTTATTGCTTCCTCCAAAGCCCTATTAGGAGAACACAGGTACCTTCCGGAAGTCAAAGCACTCAACCTCCTTTGCAAATGTAGACTCCTTCATGATCTAAAAACAAGGACTCCAAAAGACAAGGAGACTTAATCGTGTTGTTTGCCCGGTTTCCAGTAGGCTATGAGCATGTGCTAATTCGCAAAGCTAAAGCAGTTGGGGCGGTGGTTGTCAACACTGTTTATTCTAGCTGTGGGACAGTTTCCCCAAAGAAAACCTTTGGAGCAGGGGCTTTTGCCAGGCTTTCTTCCTCACAGCCCCTCCAGCTGCCATACCTACTCGCCTGTGTCTGTGATGAGCAGTTTGAAATCACTGGTGAGTGCGTGGGATGTGGATGTCAGAAAGTGGGTTTCTATTTCTGCAGGGATCAGAATGCTGGAGGAGGAAGGATTCAGGCCTTATAGTTTGGATTGGGCTTCATTGTCTTTACATTCCATTTAAAATCATATTTATTGGGAACCCAGAGGTGTGTGGGGCCAGGTTTCTTTCCAGAAGTAGAGAAGACAGCCCCCTACCCTGTAGTTGCTAAAACCCTTTGTCCTGCATTGTTCCTAGGCCCTGAAGGATCCCACCCTGGCTGCCCGGAAGGATTTCCAGAGGGAGGCCGAGCTGCTCACCAACCTGCAGCATGAGCACATTGTCAAGTTCTATGGGGTGTGTGGCGATGGGGACCCCCTCATTATGGTCTTTGAGTACATGAAGCATGGAGATCTGAATAAGTTCCTCAGGTAAGCAAGGATGGCTGTCCCCTGCATCTGACCCCAGTCCCACTGAACCCTTGGGGTTTTCCCTGGAGCCAGAAATTATACTACCCCCTCTAAATACTTAGAGTGTAGTATACTTAGTGAAATACTTAGAGTGTTTAGAGGGGGTAGTACGGTCTCAGGATGAGAAATTAGATGAACACATTCATTCTCATACATCATCTTCTCAGCAGCCAGGTTCAGGCCTTTGTCCCTGGTTTGTAGGGAAAACAAGTTGAGGATGCTATTATAAATAACCTATTCTCTTCTTCCTCATTCCGAAATGGACTGAAAAGAAGAACAGGGTCTGGAATGGGTCCAGGAGGAACCTGGAAGGCTCGCAGCCAGAGGCTTACAACTCCAAGTTTCTAGGGCCACCCTTCCCTGATACTGTAAATAGCTTTCTCCCTTTGTGCCTTAAGTTCCTCACTTGCAAAGTGAGGCTAGTATCTTGCACCCCTCCTGGAAACAAAGACTTTTGATGATGAGTAAAAAGATCCAAGGTTACATTTCACTGGGCGCCAGAGATGGTTGAAACAAAAAGGGGGCCGATTTTCTTCAGGCTAATTCTAGAACTGTGCTGTTCAGTTCAGTGGCCACATTGGCCTTTTACATTTAGAGTTACATTAATTAAAGTTCAATACAATTTAAAAATTCAGTTTCACTAGTTCTTTGGTTGCACTAACCATAGTTGAAGTACTTGTTAGTCACATGTGGCTGGTTTTTACCATACAAGGAAGCTTAGTATAAACATTTCCATCAATAGAAGGTTCTATTGAATAGTACTATTCTAAAAAGAAAGGATTTATTGTAAGAAGCATTTCTCCAAGCCTAGAACAAGATTGCCTGGACTTCGAGGGCTCTCAATGTAACTGGTAAGAGACTGGAACTCAAGCCAGGAGTTCTGGATGAAGTTTCAGTGGTGGCTCTCCCTTCCCCAGAGAAGGCAGCATATCATCACTAGCGCAGAGTTAGGACTCCTCTACCTTCCACAGATGCCACTTCCAAACAGTGCCCATATATGGGAGGGACAGCCGCATGAAGTTCCGTGGAACCCAAGGTCTCAGGAAGCAGGCTAAACACACAGGCCCTCTAGACTTAGGGTGTGGTCTCTGCCACCACCACAATTTGAATCTCATTGAGCTCTGTGGCTGAGAATGAGATTTCCAAAGTTCAAGTGTGAGTTATAGAAGGCTCTAGCCCACTCGCCAAAACCTGCTGAGTATCTCTTTGAAGTGGGAATTCAATAGGGTGTTGTGGCTTTGGGGAGCAAAGAAATGAGTCAGTACCAGGTAATGGAATGGAAGACTCTCTGGAGCTCTGCTTATGAGTGAGGTTTCTACAAAGATGGCCCTTCAGGAAATGAAAACATCTGTGGGATGTTCTAAGCCTCTTAATCCTGGATTCACCATTAAATGGATCCCTTTCCCTGGAGAATTTTGTCTTTAGCATAAGACAGATTTGGATTCATATCTTGGATTTGTCACATCTTAGTTGCAAATTGGAGCAGCTTATTAAATCTTAATTTTCTCTCCTAGAGAACATGGCTATTAATAACTGCTTCACAGGGTTGTTGCTATGAGCGTTAAATGACTACATATGTATAATGCCTAGACAAGTTCTGCAGGTAGTTCAGTGACCAGCCAAATGGTAGCTTCTATTAAAGTTGTTACTATTACTATTTTATGAGAATTGTGAACCACGGTAGCTTCTAATCCAGGCGACACCTTTTCTCAATATTCAGGATAGCCCTCACCCTGTCCTTTTGTTTCCCTGGGGTCCAAGGGACATGCCCTACTTTTCACCACACCCTATCCTTACATTCAGCAGTATCTCCGGCCCCAAGAGCCACCAGCAGGGCTAAGGAGAGCACCTAGGTGCCTCTGCACTAGTGCCATGCATAAAAGGGGAGAGAAAGAAGATAGTAGAAGGGAGATAAAGAGTGAGCGCCTAGAGTAAAGGTCAGGAATGGGAGAAGCAGAAAGTAAGATGAAAAGGAAAAGGAGTTGCTGGACGCGGTGGCATGTGTCTGCAGTCCCAGCTATTCAGGAGGCTGAGGCTGGAGGATCTCTTGAGTCCAGGAGTTCTGGGCTGTAGTGTGCTATGCCGATCGGGTGTCCGCACTAAGTTCAGCATCAATATGGTGACCTCCTGGGAGCGGGGGAACACCAGGTTGCCTAAGGAGGGGTGAACCGGCCCAGGTTGGAAATGGAGCAGGTTGAAAAGGAAAAGGAATGCAAAAGAAATAGAAGGAAGTGCATAAGGTGGGGGGCAGCCCCAGGCCTCCGCTTCTCCAGGGCAGACAGCACGAGGAATGCATGCATGTGAGAGTATGGTTCTACAAGAACTTGCTGACACTCTGAAGACTTCTGTGTCTCTATGGGGTCCCTTTTTGAAGGCAGCATGGACAAGCCTATATAAATCAAGGCTAGACAGTCTTCCTGGGGCAATTTTACAACAAAATCTGAGCTTTAGCCTCCACTTCTGATCAGATTTCCAGTAGGTTCCATTAATCTGTCTTCCTAGGCTCTATCAGTTGAGGGTGAGCTTCTGAAGAATGCTCTGAGGCCAGAAGCTCTTAGCAAGAGGCAGTGTTTGGGAAGTGTGCTGTTGGCTGCTCTCATAAACACAGCCTCCATGACCTGCAGGCTGACTCTACCTGCTTTTACGTCTCCACACTGGTGTTGCTGAGAGGCAGGCTGGAGTGCACTCTCTAGGTAGACAGAGGAAGGGCTTCTCTGCTGATCCCTCTTCCTTGCGAGCTGATGCAGCCTTCCTCCTTCTGAGGAGTGAGATAGGCAGAGTCCACCAGAGATAGTAAACGGAATGTGGTCATACTTAATGGTGCTTTTCAGGGGAAATGGTAGAAGCAGTAAAGCAGGCAGAGGTCTTGCCGTACACCAGGGCTCCTTAGTCCACAACTCCAAAAATAAGGGCCCTGGTGTGGTTACGGTTCATTGGGCTTTCTAGAGAAAAGAGTGAACACTAAAAGTGACTGATATGACCAGGCAAGGTGTTACAATAACAAAGCTGGGCTTTGATTTGGGATGGAGTGGGTTCTGGGGGTTCCCCAGCCTTGTGCTTCAAGGTCACAGTGCACCGCTATGGCCATAAATTACCCAGTGCTAAGCAGTGTGGTGGAGCAGTTAGGAGTGTCGGAGTGCCATTGAGTGTGGACTGCCAGCCCCAGCACAAATGAGCAAGCTCACCTAGCCAATCAGAATCCTAGGGGGTGGAGCCTGATAATCTTAGAATGAGCCCCGCCCCCACCATGTTCCTGTTAGCAGGTCTCCCTTTACAGTCACATACCTGGTTTCAGATCCTACTTCCTGATTTCCCATGTGGCCGTTCTGGACCTCTGGAACATTGGCTGAGCGATCTGATCATTTGTGCCTTCATTTCTTTGTTTCAAAATTGGGGTGGGAAAATTAAGTGAATTACAATATTTAAAACAACCAGAGCAGCACTGGGCACATGGTAAGGGCTATGGCAGAGTTATTTGTTGTTTTACTAATTATTCTGTAATAGACATCTAGCACTTGTGAAAATCCTGGAAAGCAGGCAAGCATAAAAAAGGGTGGGTTTATTCCCTCTTTCATTTCAGTATGTCTGCTGTCAGGATCTGGTTGTGGAGTTTCACCCATACCCACACATACGTAATTTAATTTGGGGTAGATCAAAACAGGCCATAGGCCGACTGGAAAGGAAAATTTTATTTATTTCTGTGGGGCATTCCAGAGGACAGGGAACCAGGAAGGCCTTTCCCCTTGGTCTCCTGATTTCTCTCTGCTCCGTCTCTTCTTCCCATGCTCCTGCAGGGCCCACGGGCCAGATGCAATGATCCTTGTGGACGGGCAGCCACGCCAGGCCAAGGGTGAGCTGGGGCTCTCCCAAATGCTTCACATCGCCAGTCAGATCGCCTCAGGCATGGTGTACCTGGCCTCCCAGCACTTCGTGCATCGAGACCTGGCCACCAGGAACTGCCTGGTTGGAGCAAATCTGCTAGTGAAGATCGGGGACTTCGGCATGTCCAGAGATGTCTACAGCACGGATTATTACAGGGTAAGGTGACTTTCCTGGCTGCAGGACTCAGCCACAGAGCTAGCGCCTTGCTTATGTGTCTTTTTCATTGTCCATTAACCCTGTCACTCTGGCACACAAATATTCACACCCATGCCCAGACATGCACCCAACAGTTATCCTTTGACTTCTCTTGTATCTTGACATACCTGTTCGTTATTTTCTCAATTGCCTACTTCTCCTTTCTTCTTGGACATTTAACTGAACTGTAATCTGTACATTGCAGCGACATATGCATTGTGTTCTTATGTGCATCAATACTCATTCTTCATGTAAACATACTCATACATGTATATGTATGTGCCCAAACATGCACACAGACATGCCCAGCTTGGTACTGTGTTTAATATCTCCCTACTCAGTCCCAGATCTAGCCTCACCCACGACACATTTTATTCTCTGAAATTATCTTGTGATGATGGAAGAATTACCTTGTTTCCAAAAGGTAGATCTTGATGAGGAGCAGAAACCTAAATAAAGTAACAAAAATGGCTACTATATTGTTAAGTATTATCCAAATGGGTTAGAACAGAGGAGGAAAGGAAGCATGTTGTCTGTTGCCAACTTCAGAGAGAGGACAGGTTAAATCTTAGAAAAGCTTCTTGATGGTGAGAAGAGGCATCCTGCTCAGCTCTACCCTCAAACACTCATCTGCTTTACAGTAACAAGGGTCGTATTTTGCTCACCAAATCATTTTTTTCACCTAAGTCTTTGGGAGTCTTTTCTTCATAGATCATTGACTGGTTCTGATAGTGTTTTATTTTCAGATAAGGGATGAATGGCCATGAGTGTCACTTACCTCAGAAAGGGAACATGTGAGTGCAGCCTGAGACACAAATAGCTTCTGCAAACTGATTGAGGGTGGATTCCTAAAAAATATGCAAGATCCAAGACTAGTTATGGTGGCTCACGCCTGTAGTCCCAGCACTTTGGGAGGCTGAGGTGGATGGATCATGAGGTCAGGAGATTGAGACCAGCCTGGCCAACATGGTGAAACCCTATCTCTACTAAAAAAATACAAAAACTAGCTGGGCATGGTGGCATGTGCCTGTAGTCCCAGCTACTCAAGAGGCTGAGGCAGAAGAATTGCTTGAACCTGGGAGGCAGAGATTGCAGTGAGCAGAGATCACACCTCTGCACTCCATTCTGGGTGACAGAGCAAGACTCTGTCTCAAAAAAAAAATACAGAAGATCTATTTCTGGGACATCAAAGGGAAGAGGAGGTTGGATAGGTGGCACAAGGAGAGTGTGGGGCAATGTTTCGGAGGCCGAGGGATGTCTTATTCCTTTTTGGCTGCTATAACAAGTGCACAAGCAGGATAGGTCACAAAAAAACAAAGTTTATTTCTCATGATTCTGGAGGGTGGGAATTTCAAGATCAAGGTGCCCACAAATTCATTGTCTGGTAAAGATCTGCTTTCTCATTCATAGATGACCGTCTTCTTGCTGTGTCTTCACTTGGCAGAAGGGTTAAGGGATCTCTCTGGCATCTCTTCTATAAAAATACATTGCCTTCGTGACCTAATAATTTCCCAAAGGCCTCACCTCCTAACACCATCACCTTGAGGTTTAGGTTTCAACACATGAGTTTGGGGGGTACACATTCAGTCTGTACCCAGGATCATGGCAGCCATTTGTCTCATTTTCTTTGGAGAAATGAGTGGTCATACTGTGAGTCAAATAGGATTGTCATGTTGGCCTGGGCATGGTGGACCAAAGTCTGGGAATTTGAGGTGTGTGCAGATCAGTTCTATCTGGATGTTCCTTATGGCTTTGCCTAAATGAGATCACTTGGACATTAAGATAGATTACGCAATACACTTTATTTTAGCAATAGTTTAGAGAAAAATTAAATGTTTGAGAAATGATCTTTGTGGTTAGAAACTGACTTGTTTGTGATACAACCAAAGAATGGCAGATGATGTACCCTCATGAGAGAATATGAGACAGAGCATGGTGTGTCCACAGCAAGCTGGGCAGTTTCTATAGCCACCTGTTCTGTCCAGCATCCCCAGGGATGGAAAAGGGGACATGATGTGTCAGTAGTCACAGACTGATGGCCAGGGCACACCTGCCGGGAACTCTCAAAGAGGAGTCTTTCTTTGGTGTCTAGACCATATTTTTTATTCTTTTCCAAGAGAGGCATTGGTGTGGTTACCAACGAGGGGCCATGGGTCATAGTTCCTAGAGTATGGCTGGAGCTGGCGCTGTTTAATTGCCTTTCCACTTTATTTAATGGGTTTGTTGGTCTGTCTGACTGTGCTTGGGTCTGTGTCGGTGTTGATGAAAACAAGGGATGGCTCATTGTTCTTCCTTGTGAAAGGCAGATGTTTGATTATGCCAAGCTGATAACTACTGACTTCGCTAGAGTCTTAGGAAACCACTTCTGATCAGAATGTGCTAACTGGCCCTTCGAATTTGCTTCTAGATGTGCACTTAATATTCCCTGAATCTGGTTTAAAAGAGGAAAAACAAAAAAATAGAAAGATCACATTCCCGATTGATATTTCTTTGCCCTTGATTTAACAACTCTCAACTGTTGCTCTTTATGCCTGAAAAAGCTACAAGGAATACATCTATCTAATTTCTGTGGGTACCAGGGCAGATTAGAATTTAAGAAAGGGAGAATGAGGTGGGAAAATGTACACAGCACAGGTAACCTCAGTTCTAAGGGAGATGTTAGCCAAGGCCAGCTAGCTTGAAATGTGTATTTTCGGTCCCAAGGAAGTTTGAACAAAAACGGATTACTCTTACAGTAAAAACACTGCACGTCATTGGAAAGCCGTATATTCCACTGATGAGAGATTTCAAGACCAGCTTGTAGCGTATCTGCTCGTTCACTCACTCGCAGTGTCCTAATGTATACAGCACTCCTCCTTCCCTACTTTTCTGTAAAATAAAAGGCAGCAGTAGATTTGCCTGAAGTCACATTAAAATGAACCCCAAAGTCCTATTATCCATATTGGAAGATGTGGGAATGGCAGGGGAATTCTTGGATTTAGGGCTAATCCTACCTATGTTCACACCCTAATGCACAACCACCATTAGCGACCACACAACCTGAATGCATTTCCCCTAACCTCTGTTCAATTTTTCTATTGTTAAAGTCAGAACAAAAATACTCACTCAACAGCTTTGTATTGATGTTAAGGAAGTTAATTTGTACAAAGAGCCTGTAATACAACACTTCCTGGATCAGCTCTTATTTATTTTTGTCTTATGAGTCCCCTCACATCCAAGCCAAGACAGCTCTGCAGATAATTTTATTTCTCTGTGAAATTCATGGGAAAAAGAGAGGGACTCCCTGACCACTGGAAGATAAACTGGATCATGCAGCTGCTCCAAAGGAGTAGGATCTTTATATTGACCAGCTCAGGGAAATGTCTTTCTTAAGGTTTCAACATGTATGGAAATACTGGGTCATCAGTATTTGCCTCTTCATCTCATAAGTGTTTACAGGGTCTTGCTCATGAATCCTAGAGCTGAGTCCACATTCGGGTGATTTATGTAAGACTTTTTGTTCAGTGTACATCTGCTGAGGCCTTCAGGGAATGCTCTGATTTGTCAGACAGTGAGCCCACTGTGAAGGATTCTCTCTGCGAGCTGATGCCCCTGCACAGGTTTGTACCTCTCTGCTATCACTGATGACTGAAATCCGTTGGGCCTAAGAGTTTTTCAGCTTCTTCTGCCTAATATCACTAAGTGCAGATAATCCAGGCACTCGCGTGCACGTGTGTGTGTGTGTGTGTGTGTGTGTGTGTGTGTGTGTATACATGTGCTTACCCACCCAGTGCAGATTCCAGAATGTGCATATGAGGGCAGGGGGAGAGATGGAGATAAACTCCTCCTCATAGTCTTTCTTTTTCATTTTTAATTTATTAAAATGAAGAGGCACCATCTGGCTCCTTCATAAGTGGAATGCAAACGATTTACAAAGGTGAGCTGCCTAATTTCCTGTTACACATTTAGAGAGAGAAAACAAACATCCCCACACCAGGGCGCCAGAGCGACTTGTTCTCTCTTCTTAAGACCTTCACAATGACAGACACCTTTTCCTTCTATCAATCACTGACTCAATGCTTCCAAGATTACCTTTATACTGGCTTTGACAACGGTAGGTGGGTACCATTATACCTTTCTAAGAATGTCAGAGAACACTAAGAGATTGATAGTCAAATCTAGAATTAAAGTTTTGAGTGTCCTGAAGGGGAGAAGATGGGGCTTTCAGAATACAGATGTTCTCAGATTTGATTTGGGGAGAGGAGTCAATACAGTGAGATCAGGGAAGAATGAAATTAGAGGGGGTGGGATCCTACTAATCTAGAAGTCCAGGATTGTTCCTTTCTGTTCTCCCTGTGTCCTGTGTGCCTGTATGCTGTCCTGTGTGACAGTACCTGGCACTTGTTGGTTACCTAATAAAAGAATGAATGAAGTCAGAAAGGGAATTTAGAATCAGGAAATGGGTTATTATACACCAAGAGAAACTTAGACAGTTACCCAGATGCTGGCCTTTGGAGATGATGTGGAATGCAGCAGCAGGTGGTAGGACAAGTGTTGTCTAATCAAGCAGTGCATTATCCTGGCAGAAGGTTCAGAGGAGGCAGAGGAGTGATGGCCTGAGTTAGGGATGATCAACGTTGGGTTCTGGTAGAAGACAGAACTGAGGGTCAAGGATATGATGGGGGAAGGATGCTGAAATCCAGGCGGACACACAGGTGCAGGCCATAAGGCAGGTCTGGCAGCAGGTAGTAAGGTGCTGGATTCTAAGCTGGAGATTCTGGGTCAGGGTTCCCAGACACTCCTAGAAAGATAGTAACAGTGGTCCTTAGGAAGTGGAAATCATTTAGAACAAGCCAATCTTGCTGGAAGAATGTTTGATTTTATGGGTGTTTGGTGTCCCTATAGCAGATGAAAAGCTGTGAGCTCTTGGACCCACACTGCCTAGGTTTGAATCTCTGCCCCTGTCATTCCTGACTGTATGA